TACATCTTTTACATTTGTACTTTTTATACCTGCAATTAGAAAAATCGTGATTAGTATTACCACATGCAAAACATTTAGGTTGACCTGTAGGAGAAGAAGATTCTTTCGATCCAGTTTTAGTGGATGCCGTCGCAAGTTTTTCTTGTATTTATTTTGTGTTTTCGGCTTGGCTTGAATCTTATGAATGGACGTGGAGGTTTCACTAAGAGCTCTTTCTTTAAAGCTAACTCCAATAATTCTTGAACTGTTTTTGTCTCAGCTTCTTCACATAACCTGTCCAAAATTTTTCCTGGTAACAAGCCACTCACAAAACGATCACGCAGAACGCTGTTTAAATTGCCACCAAAGTTACAAAGAGCAGCAAAACTTTTGAGACGTGCATAATATTTAGCAATAAATTCCTCCTGAATTTGCTGTAGCTTATAAAACTCAATGCGTTTTCGCCAAACTGAAGTTCTGGGAGAAAACTGTGTGTCAAGCAAGTTGCATAATTCATCAAATGTTTTTGATTCTGGTAATTCCGGATTGCATAAATCGCTCAAGATGCGGTAAACCGATTTGGAGACCGACGTAAGTAAAACAGCCACACGTCTGTTGCCCTGGATTTCATTGGCTACAAAGTATTGCCCAAGGCCGATATAGCTTCCAATCGTCACCTTCTTCATAAATTTCCAGACGACCCACATTTCCAAAAACAACTACAGGGGACTGCTGAGCCATGACGTACGTGAGAGAGTATCGAGAATAACCTTAATCGTCTTTTCGTGTGCAAGTACTTTGGATAATTATGTCCACTTAACCTCATACAATAAAAATCGAGCACGTTTACCAATTTAGTCTCGTCGCCAATTTGTGATAATGTGGACTATTGAATCATAAACAAGGATTGCTGGATAACAAAATATGTATTCTCCTCAAGTTACAATGAATGTTACCTCTCGTACGTTATTACATAGACTGACTCGGCGGAAGTTTTCTACCGCCCTCTGCCTAACCGATACGCCCGTTAGAGGGGAGGGACCGCGCTTCATTTAAAAGCTGTTACGATATTACAATACCCTCCTCCTAAGTCTTTGAAATAAAAAGTAAGCTTAAACTACTCAGGGCAATAACGGTCAGGTTTCTTGCGCACCCTGCTACTCCTGATATTTCCGGAAGTTTCAGTTGGCACCTCATTAGCATGTTCATTAGAACTACCAGGCGGCAGGTTGTCTAAGTTCTGTTTAGGTTTTTCAACATTATTTGCTCTGGCAGGAGAGGCAGGCTGCGGCAGATTATCGTCCTTATAACTAATTACAGTAGGAATTCGTTTATCCATATTGTTGCTTATATCTAAATCATTACGCGAATTGTGAGTGCAATCATCATTGGGAGTAGCGGATATTAACTGATCCAAGTGCCTTTTCCATACCTCACCGGTTTTCAATTTGACCAGATATGTACGAGAGCCTAGTACTGTGACCACCGCGGGAGCCCAGTTCTTCTTGTTGATGACTCGATAATCACGTGCCATCACAGGATCGCCTTCCTTAAATACGATGTCGCGGGGTCCTCTATACTGTTCTTGCTAACGTTCAAGTTGCTTCTTTTTAAAAGATGGCTTTATCAGGTTTATTAAGGTTCTGACATTGCGGTTGAACATTAGTTTGCCTGGCGTCTCACCTGTCACACAATGAGGCGTTGTTCTATAGGCGAATAAGAATCTGTTCAGAAGAGTTCTCAAGGATGTTAGTCGATTCTTGGGATCCTTCATTGCCTTGGCTAAAGCAGTCTTGAACGTTCTGACGAAGTTTTCAGCAGCACCATTTGTTGACGGGTGAAATGGTGGCAAAGTGCTGTGCTTGATCTTATTCTTTGTGCAGAATGCTGAAAACTCTTTCGCGGTCAACTGCGCACCGTTATCAGTGACAATTTGGGATGGCAGTCCAAAGCGAGCGAACATTTCTCTGAGCGCTTCAATTGTGGAAGAAGTATCTGTGTTTTTCATAATGAAAACTTCCGGCCACTTTGTGTAAGAATCAATGCTTACTAAGAACATATGTCCTTTAAATGGCCCAGCAAAATCGAGATGAATTCTCTCGAACGGGTTTTCTGTTTGCTGCCACTTTAATAGAGAGGCTTTCTCAGGCTCAGCTCTAAATGACATACATATCTCGCAAGTCTTGACTAAGCGCTCGAGATCTTGATCCATGTTCGGATACCAAAGGTAAGATCTTGCTAGTTTGATCTTCGTTATTCCAAAGTGATTTTTGTGAAGCTGCTTTAACATTGCCGACTTCATTTTCTCCGGTAGTACAACTTTATACCCCCACATCAAGATCAGTTTTCTTAAGGTCTTCTTCAATCTGTGACGGCCAAGTGTCGTTGACATAAGTCATTACGCGACTTAATAGGAGATCATTTCGAGTTGCATCCCGAATTTGTAGATAATCCAGGGGGAGCCTGTCTTCCAAGAAATGTAGATACTTGATGTCTGACTCTTCTTCTATTTCTGAAAACACGGGCAAACGCGACAAACCATCGGCTCCTCCGTTGTTACTGCCTTTTACGTATCGTAGCTCATAATCAAAATCGGATAAAAATACGGCCCATCGCTGCAGACGGCCTGCTGCCATAACAGGAATGCCTTTCTTCTCACCAAATAGGGCTAATAATGGCTTGTGATCCGAAGCAAGAATGAAATGTCTTCCTATGAGGTATTGACTAAATTTCTTTAGCCCCAGTAGATGGCTAACGCTTCTTTGTGAATCACAGAATATCTTTTTTTGGCTTTAGATAATACTCTTGAAGCAAAAGCTATCGGTCATTCTGTTCCATTCGGGTAAACATGTAGTAAAACCGCCCCAATTCCATGTTGCGAGGCATCACATGCTACTTTTATTGGGAGATCCGGATTGTAATGGGTTAATACAATATCCGACATCAATATTGACTTGGCCTTTTTGAAGCTCTCTTCGCAGTTGTGGTTCCATTTGAAAGTAACATTTTTCTTCAACAGTTGATACAAGGGTTCCAATACTTCTGATAAATTATGAATAAATCGTTCATAATAATTTATCATGCCAACAAAAGCACGAACCTGAGTGACGTCGTTTGGACGTGATGCTTCTGCTATGGCCTGAACTTTCTTGGGATACATATGTAACCCTTCTGCGTTGATGACATGACCCAGAAAATGTATATCATTTTTAAAGAACTCGTATTTGTCCAAGTTTAGTGTAAATCCTGTCTCCTTGAGTCGGGTTAAAACTGCTCTCAGATTGGCCAAATGTTCCTTTTCTGTTTTCCCTGTGACACAAATGTCATCAATACATACTCCAACACCTTCAAGACCACGTAGCACCTTTTCCATTGTCATTTAAAATATGGCACTCGCAGTTTTTGTGCCAAACGATAGACGATTTACGAGATATATGCCTCTTTGAGTGCTCCAAGCCAATAATTCCCGTGTATTTTGATCTAACAACAACTGGTTGAAAGCATTTTTGAGGTCTGGTTTTGTAAATTTTTGTCCTTTACGAACAGCTGTAAACATTTCCTCAATTTTGGGGAATGGATAATCGATGTCTTTCAGATGCGGGTTAACGGTTAAACTATAATTAGCGCACAGTCGTAACGTTTTGTTGGCTCTTAATACAGGCACTAGTGGCGTGCCCCAACGCAAACTTTCTACTTTAGTAATAATTCCCTGTTCTTCCAATTTAGTAAGCTCTGCATCAATTAATTCGCGAAATGCAAAGGGAATAGGCCTTGGTTTACAAAAAACTGGAGATACATTTTCTTTAAGCTTTAATTGAATTGTTTCATACTTGTATGTACCAATTTTAGGTTCAAAAACGCTCGCAAACTCTGTCAATAACGATTGCAACTCAATTCATCCTTAATATTTCCATTATTTTTAAAATCAATAGCTAATAATTTTACTTGGAAATTTTTGAACATTTTGAATGCTAACATTAAATCACGGCCCAATAACGGCTTACATTTGCTTTTTACAACTAATAATCTGGCGGATACGGAACGCTTACCTAATATTACCAATAACTTCGCCTATTAGAATGATTGTGCTACCGTCATACATTTTTAATTTAACAACCGAAGATTGTAACGGAATATTTTTAAATACTTCCTGATACAGATTATATGGTACCCTATCGACATGCTGGCTCCAGAATCTACCTCCATCACCACTGGGATGTTGTTAATTTTAACGTTGACTCTTAACAGTTCCACAATAGATCTGTTGCCATTTAAATTGAACATTTCAACTTCCTCTTCTGAAGCTTCCGATTTTTC